CTGCTCGCGCGCTCTCTGTCTACGTGTGTCTATGTGTGTGTGTGTACATTCATAAAACTTGAAATTATTACAAGCGTTCTAGCCTCTGGCCGAGGCGCGCGCGTAAGCATAGGCACGCACACACACACACACACACACACATTTACGCGCAGAGGCAGCGTGTATAACGTAAAGAGTTATACTTTTTGCGATAAATAACCTTGCGCCGCGAGCGCGCGGCTCCTCCGGGGGCTGCAGCAGCTAGGCTTATAGATATACCGCTGTTGGTTGGCTGCAGCCGAGAGCTAACTATATTGTTAAGCGACGATAAAAATTGAGTAAATATTTAGCTGCAACGACGAGTTTGAGCCAAGCTACATAACATACAGCATATTCAAGGTTCGAAACATAAGGCACTCGTGTTTTTTCGCCTCTCTTGTTTAGCCATGCGTTTATTTATTTCTTTTTCAATATTTTTGCTTGTAAATGTGCACATACTGCTACACGTATTGTAACGAAGACGACGAGCTATCGGTGCCTATATGCTATTATGCACAACGCGAGCTTGAGAAAAATCGTGCCAACGAGCTCATCCGTTGTGTGCTGCGGTCTGCTTGTGCACATGCGAGTGCATCTATACTCTACGATGATAATGCACGTAACGTGGCTTTTTACATCGTCGCACACGAATTTGACCTCTATATCCAACTCGTTAGTCTGTGTATGTGTGTGTGTGTGTGTGTGCAGTGTGTGCATGTTGTCGTCCGCTGATGTAGCTACACGTAGTCTTCGTTATCTGTACAGAAATACCACACGACAGCAGCAGCAGCAGCAGCAGCAGCAACATCAGCCACAGCAGTAGTTACGCAGCGACGCGTTAAATGTTGTACCCCTCGCGCGATTCGCACGCATCGCATCGCACTGAGAGATATGCCCTTATATCTACTTACAGCGGCAGCAGCGAGCGACGTTAAGCAGGAAACATTTACGCCGCTAACCGAAAAGGGAGATCGTTCCAGACTCTCTACTGCTAGTCCGTGCATCAGTTGGTCTAGGAGTCGTATACACACGCGATTCAAGGGGAGTTTCGAGCTGTAATAATAATATATACACATATTATATAGAACGAGCATCGACGTACAAGTATGTGCGTAGGCACGCACAAACACTTATTTACCACGTGCAGAAAACCGAAATGATGTATATTTATATGCGCGCAGCTTGCGAGGGAGCCGCTTATGCCAGACAGTGGTGGCTCGAAAGAATAAGTTATTTTTTCGCGAGTCGAGCGAACAGATATTCTACGCGTATTCGTATAGCATATACAGGGCTTTACTTGTAATACGAAGGATGAGTTTTTCGGGGGTGCTGTTGCTTCCGAGGATGGAATACAAATGCTATATACGATACCACTGTGTGCTCGTACTTTTTGCCAATTCGTTTCATTACGATACCCCCACATCTCTGCAGTCACAAGTTGAAAGAGAGAGAGAGAGAGAGAAGGAAAAAGCTCGAGTGTAACGATATGCCGAGGCGAGAGCTTGCGGTATAGCTACTACAAATTGGATTGGTATCGTATATATAAGAAAGACTTCGACTGCGTTATACACGTACGTCTTTTGTATTTCTGATAAAAAAAAAAGAAGAAGAAAAACTACCTATAAGCCAATTTTAGCGTCTTCAAAGAATCGGCGCGCGTATTACATTCGTGCGTGCGGACGTACAAGCGTGAAAAGGAAAAATTAGTATCTTGTATTTTTTTTTCCTTCCTCGTGCCAATTGTACGAGCGTCAAGTGTGTGCGAGGCGTCGAGAGGAGCGCGTGAACGAAATAATAATTTATGTGCGTCGAAGTGAGAATTCGCAAACTTCTTCGACGATCGAGAGTAGAGAGGCTGCTGCTGCTGCTGCTGCTGCGTAGACGAGAACGAAGCTCGCGCTGAGTCGCGTTGTACAGCAGCCCCTTTCTGTCGAGACGGTATTAAATATACAATTTATAAAGGGCTTTTGGAAAATTAATAAATCTGCTTGGAAATGTACGTATAGAGAGTAGTAGTAAGCAATATCGGACAAAGTGAAAATTCGCTCGGTCGTGCACCTTTTTTGCATAGCGCGTGGCAAAGGGAAAATAATTATAAAGTATAAAATACGGGTGCGCGCAAGCTCAGGGTAAGAACGATTATTATTTCATGTCAATGACAACGACGATCCCAGCCTGCGACTTTCTCTCTCTCTCTCTCTCTCGTCTCTCGATAAATATAAAATTGTGAATCGCGCTGCGGTAATTGGGTGAAGGCCCCTCACGCACGATCTAATGCCGCGGTTACATTGCACTGCACGCACACGCACGCAGACGGTGTATACAACGCCAGGCTCTCTCAGTTAGTACCGCACGTACACACATATATACATACCTTACGTAATGCTGCGTAAACGAGGGGGAGAATTATTACGCGTGATCAAGACTCATTTATTCTTTCAACGATGAATGTATATATGCGGCTGCGTGTATGTGTGTGTGTACGCCGATGCGCGCAAAAGAGCACGAGGCAGACTGCGTACATTACACACGTACATATTAGGGTGGTCCACTTTTTCAAAAATTTTTTGTATCTCAGGGGATCCATCGGAATCAGAAAGTTTGAGGTTTAAAATGAATTTTCCCGTAAACTAGAACTCAAAAAAATGATTTTAGATGGTGTCGATGGATTTTTGAAGTTTAAAAACGTGCTCCAAAAAAGAAGCAAAATCGGGCTATCATTCGATTTATTTCAAACTCTGTTTAGAGTGTAAAAATAATCTTGACAATACATTTTCTTATGTGTTTTTGTCTGCAGAATCGAATGCCGTAGTCAGTTTTGACCTAGGAGCACAATTTCATTCAAAAAAATACACTTTTTCGATCGTTCTTTTTCGCAAATTCCGCAAAGTTCATTTTCGAGCGAGTGGCAAATGAACAGAAAAAATCTAGAAAATTTTTTGACACCACCAAAATTTAGGATTTTTTATGACAAATCCAATGGTATAAATTAGTATACACTTTGAAATTATTTTAATGCAGAAAAATACAACTTTATCCCAAAAAACGACATTACGAAAAATTGAAAAATCGAAAAGTGTATTAGTTTCTTCCAGGAAATGGCTAAGTAGAATCAACTATGGAAAAAATTGCATGAAACTATCTGATAGGTTTTTTTCTCACCTTTCCAACGCCGGTTTCAGAAGTTAAAAATTCGCAAGATTCGCTGAGATACAGCTATTTTTGTACGATGCATTTTTTAGGCTTAAAATTCAATAATTCTGAGCTAGCTCTATTCATTAAAAAACCTGCGAAGCAGAATTTAAGCTAAAAAATGCATCGTACAAAAATAGCTGTATCTCAGCGAATCTTGCGAATTTTTAACTTCTGAAACCGGCGTTGGAAAGGTGAGAAAAAAACCTATCAGATAGTTTCATGCAATTTTTTCCATAGTTGATTCTACTTAGCCATTTCCTGGAAGAAACTAATACACTTTTCGATTTTTCAATTTTTCGTAATGTCGTTTTTTGGGATAAAGTTGTATTTTTCTGCATTAAAATAATTTCAAAGTGTATACTAATTTATACCATTGGATTTGTCATAAAAAATCCTAAATTTTGGTGGTGTCAAAAAATTTTCTAGATTTTTTCTGTTCATTTGCCACTCGCTCGAAAATGAACTTTGCGGAATTTGCGAAAAAGAACGATCGAAAAAGTGTATTTTTTTGAATGAAATTGTGCTCCTAGGTCAAAACTGACTACGGCATTCGATTCTGCAGACAAAAACACATAAGAAAATGTATTGTCAAGATTATTTTTACCCTCTAAACAGAGTTTGAAATAAATCGAATGATAGCCCGATTTTGCTTCTTCTTGGAGCACGTTTTTAAACTTCAAAAATCCATCGACACCATCTAAAATCATTTTTTTGAGTTCTAGTTTACGGGAAAATTCATTTTAAACCTCAAACTATCTGATTCCGATGGATCCCCCGAGATACAAAAAATTTTTGAAAAAGTGGACCACCCTAGTACATATATGTACGACTACGTACGTGCGAAAAGGAGGGTGTCCCTTTTTTCATCTACGCGCAGCTCTTGTCCTCTTTTGAAATTCACCGCAGCCCACATGTACGCACACACACACACACACGTACGTGCACAGCACTAGGCATTGTGTGTGCATGTACTATGTGTACGCACGCGGCGCCGCTGATAATCGACGCACTTGTAACGTCTCACGTAAATATAAATTTTGCTACTGCGTGAGCTTTGAGCCATGGGTGACCGAGCTCGAGATATAGCTCTGCAGCGCGCGGGGAAAAAGTCGAGCCCACTTTGAAGGGGCGCCGACTGTATACAAGTGCCACTGTGTAACAATACACATTTTCGGCGCTTCTCTGTTCGAAAATATTCTGTATAGTAGGTGCAAGCACGAAGATAATCAAGAAATGATATGATTTTTCTTTTGAAACTATTTATGCATAGCCTTTGTGCCTCGGGTGCTCCTATGCCAATTCGAAATCGAACGCAAGATACTTCGTGCTTGTTTCAAGTTTGAGAGATAAAGCACTATTGATTCGTAAAACTTACGTTAAATCTATTTATTCTGCTATCTCGTCAAAATACATAGATATGAATCATCGGTCAGCCTAAATAGGTGGTGGGTTATTCCCTCTCATGAATTACAATTACATCGTGCGTAAAATTCGCCGGATTTTTAACTTTTGGAGCTCATTGCGAGTATTTGACGTGCAACCATTGACGCCTTCTTGCTTGCGGGAATGAGTACAATAAAGATATTAAAAGTACGTTTTAATACAAGTGAAGCTTTGCCTACACAGGCTACTTAGATAACGAACTATTTTGGTGTGTGGCTAAGATAAAAGTCTTTTTTGTATAAAAATGCTCGGATATTTGATTCAATCTTTATTCGCGTGTGTATCGATTCAGTGACAAGTACGGAGTGAAACAAAAAACGTTGAAGCGGAGATCGAGCAAAAACATGACTTCGGAACCGCTGCTTTACAAGGACAAAGGTAAACGCGTATTGTTGGCAATCAAATTTATTATTGAAAGTTTTATCAATCATAAAAATTGTTAAAATCAGCATTAATAAAATTCAGAAGGGTAACTCTAAAAACAATTGATATCAATGTTGGAATTAATTAAGGTGAAAAAAGTTTTTAAAAGATTTGTTGAATCTTTTATTGTCTTCTATTAATTTAATTGCCAATAAAAACAGTTCACATTTATTCGCTCTTTTTTTGACATTTTTGAAATAAATTATTTTAAAAATATTTTTATATTCACTGAAAAACTTTTGCACTGAATTAGTGATCAACAGTGGTTTTGTATTGATATCACACTGTAGTGTCTTTAATTTAAAAAAAGTTCACGATGATGGTGACAGGAATTTAGGTTCACGAAGCAAAGATAACAAAAATATTGCTTATGAGTTATCGTAACAATATAATTCTTATTAACTAGTTTAACAAATAACTGTAGAGATGCAGAGAAACACTGTAGAGATCTATTATTTAGTGCAACATATTTTCAGTGTATGCAAGTTTCCACTGTTCCCATTGATCTAATATTATTCGCGTGGCATAGCTAACATTTTTTTCCTTATGGCTTTACGATTCGACTCAGGTAAATTATTGTTAAGCAAAATTTGATGGGCACTAGACTTTTTTTACCAAAATATTCTATGACGTACAATAAGCAGTGATGATAAGAGCGCTCATATAGATATGATTTTTTGCTTTATTTTCGGTTGATATTTATCGGCGTAAAAATCGGCGTTTAGACAATTATTCAAAATTATTTACTTTCGGAAGCCAAATTTCATATTTAAATAAAATATTTATTCTTAGAGGACATGAATGAATTTCATAAGTATTAACCTTTAATAGACCCTTATAAAAATTTTCAATACTAAGGGGACCTCCCTCCTACAAATTGAAAAAAGAAATATTTAACCTCACTACCAAGAAATTATGTTTTGAATATATTACTAGTAATTTACTTGTTTGTGACCACTTTCCTGTAACAGTTTATGTAAAAAATAATTGATGTGTACATTAATCGTATTGGACTGGGATATAAGAATAAGAAGATCATTGATTTCCGAATATTTGACATCAGTTTATTTAAATTTAATAGGTCATTACTATAGAGAAAACTATTTTTTTTGTTCGTCTAAGGGTTTATTATGCTATACTGAATCGAAAATTGATGGATGGCTCACCATCATTTAATGTGTTTGACAACTTTTATTGTTTTTCAGGTCCAAAGTACTACGTAAACCTTCAAATTGCTGGGATCTTTTTTGCAATAATTATCTTTCAAACCTTTGACAAGGACTTAGCTTTGTCCGTAGGTAATTATGAGTTTTTCTCTTGAAACATTTACCATAACAATTGTTAAAAAATATTTACAATTTTAGATTGGAAGTACTATGTAAAAAAGTTAGTCTATATTTCGTTGCTCATACCAGCTGGTGGATTAGCTACCAATTGGAGCGCCAAGAAACTTTTATGTCTCAGCATTGCCGGTATCGGTATTGTGCACTTGCTCACAGCGATTCAAATCGGCACCATACATCACATTAACGATTACAAGTTGCAAGTTATTAGTGACCTGTTACTGAATATACTTATTGGTGCAATCCAAGCGCCGGTTCTGCCTTGCGTTTACGCACTTTTGGCGCGTCTCAGATTGCCTGAACGTAGGGCGACCGATTGTAAGCTAACATATTCTTAATTTAAAAAGATACCAACCAGGAACACTGTTAACGATGCTCATCCACTTTCAGACTCTATTGTTTTTTCCGCTAAGTCTTTTATCCTAGCCTTATACCTTATCCTTTCGAGATGGTCAAGCTACGATCACAATTCAGTTTACGCCCGAGTGATTTTGGGATTAATGGCTGTGTTTTGGAGTATCGTATTCCATTATCTGGGATCGAACTGTGACCTGGAATTCGTGGACCAAGCTCCTTCGTTCAAGCCACAAATACCATGGAGGTCGATTCTGTCGTCGCTGCCCGTCTGGACGTTGATACTGTCTCACGCGGCTAGCTATGCTGCTGAATTGATCACATATCGGGTAAGCATGGCGCTTTTCTTTTCTTTCATTGAACTCATCACTAATGCAACGACAATCAGTATATGATAGAGTTCAGAACGCTGAATGCTGGAATAATGCTGACAGTTTTGTTGATCTGGGTGCTGGCTGGCATCGGATCGGGATGGTTATCAGACTCATTCGTGGCAAGACACCGTTTAACAAGACTCAAAGCGCGTAAGATCTTCAATTCCTTATCTACGTTTGTACCAGGGGCCGCATTTGTATTTGTGTATGCGATCGAGTGTATCGCTCGAGGTGGAGATTTTTTTAACAGTTTCATCTGGGTATTAATGAAGTTCATTATAATACTACTGATCAACTTTCGAGGCAGTGGTTTTATGATCAACCACATGGACTTGAGTCCGTACTATGTGGGCATTCTCATCGCTATTACACAAATGGCCAATCAAATAGCACAAGCCGTAATGACTCTGTTCGCAATCGTAAGTATGCAAAAATGTTGTAACGTGTGTATCAATCAATATAACCGAGCTTTTCTTCTCTTTTTCAGTTAATTCCCATTGAGGGAATGTACTTGGCTCTGATCTGTTTATCAGTCCCTTTTTTCATTGTTACGGGTATCTTTTTCGCAATTTGCAGCAAAACGAGTATTCAGGACAAGTGGAGCCCGGTTCCAGCGTCGTATCAAGAGGAACATAAATTGGATAAAGTAAGGGATCTATTGTAATAGAAAAAAATTGATACTCTGAAACCTGAGAGTAATCGGCAGTTTCAATTCTGACGATGCTAATTGTCACTGAATTAGATTGTGTATACTGATGATTATTTTCGTTATAATGTAATAATAATTTTGTATCTGGTAAAAATGCCCCATATTTTATTACTACTTTTCAATTGTTAGCTAAACTGGTTTTATTAAAAACTTTATTGAAAACTAACGACATAGGCACTTTTTTATTAGTTTCATGATCATCCCCTCGAAATTTCAACTTAAGTAGATACTAAGGAAATGAAAAAAAATTATGGAATAAGAAATCATTTTGTGGAAAACCGTGCTATAACTTATACAATTATGTTGACTTTACCACTTGCAGATTTACGGTTAAAAGTACTCGCCATCTATTGGTGGAAACGTAAAGTAGTATTGTCGTGTTCGAATTGGTTGTATTTACCATAGTTCAAATTTTATCGAAACAGTTAAATGATTTTTCAGGGTTTTGAATAGTTTTTTAGCGCATGATTGCTCTAGAAAGGGCACCATAAAAAAAGATAACTAATGACAGTGTGTTTTAAAAAATTTTAAATGGTCATTTTTTATCCCGAAGCCAATATTAATGTTGAATATTTCTGCCAGAAGTAATAATAATTTGGGAACAGCCTTCACTGTTGCTTTAGAAACAATTCTGTGTTGATACCAAAGATGTTAAATTAATCATACTTATAACGTAATAATAATATTTTGAAATAATTGATATTGAACGTTTTATTTATATTTACGATGCTTCGAGCTCGACCTTTAAAATTCCAATTATACGCTCTTTGTAACGCACATTTTTCAAATACGAGCGTACTGCATTACATTTCCGAATTGTCACTTTAATGTCTGTATGCAGGAGCCGTGGATATTTAACATATACTTATAATATATATGATATACAATCTAAGAACGTGTCTAGACGACAATCGGCTTGGCGCCGTCGTCGAGCAGCGCTCCGATATCCGTCCAAAAATGTCCCTCTCTCTATTATACTAGATACGCTCGAGCACTTGAATTTTCATTCTATCCTCGTTTGCTCGCGCGCTCTCGTAATATATTACTTTTCCGCAGCCCGAGCCGAGTTGAGCTTCTATATACTAGCCGAGGTCTATGCTGTAGCTTGCGCGCACGTATCGCTGCACACACACCAGAGCGCAAGCCACCGAGAGAATGTGTGTGAGAGAGAGAAAGAGAGAGAAAGGGGCAGCTTTGGCGAATACGATGTAATATGGTGAAAAAGTAAAGGTAAGTTTTAACGCCGACTACGACGACGACGACGACGACGACGACGTGGTCGTGGTCTTTGAAGCTGAGTTGATGTATATGATATATATACGGAGCGCAAGTTTTTTCCTCCTTATCTTCGGTTAACCGAGTGTTTTTATAGGATTTCTGCTGCTGCGCGGATACGTGTAGGCGCGCGGCACAGCTCTTATACTATATATAAAACCCCCTGCATCATCATCGTCGTCGTCGTCGTCGTCGTCGTCGTCGTCGTCGTCGTGCGCGTTACATTTCAATTGCCGACGCTCTTTTTCTCGCTCTCTTAAAGAGTCGCGCGCTCGAGACTCGTCGGGGCTGCGTGCGTGAAATTATTTATCGAGCGGCTCGGCAGCGGCCGGCGTATAACTAAGTGCGCCTATAGCGTCAAAATGAAAGATAAATATTTCGCTTTTGTAAGGAGCGAGCGTAGCTATCTATACAATATCTCGAAGCTCCTTTTGGCCTGGCAAATTTTCGACGATGAAGCTCGAGTTCGCTCGTGGCTTGCTGTGTAACGAACTTTAATATCGGCTCCTCGCTCGCGCGAGCTTGAAACAACAATGTCGTTGCGGGGGCGCCTGTAGATACTACTAGTACTAGTCGCGCTTACTTAGCGATAAATATAACGTATAAACTACCGGAAACTTACTACCTGGGTCTAAAATCAACACAACATGCTTGTAGGAGAGGCATCGGTTCGTCTTTTCTCTCTCTCTCTCTCTCTTTCAAAGTGCATGTGTTGGCGTGTTTGTATTAGTGCCTCATATCTATGTTATAACGTTTTCTCATCGCCACGGCTTATAACACATATATATACGAAGCTCAAGAAGTGTGAGCCTCGTGGCTCGCGCGCTCAGTAGTGGCGGCCGCGTGCGAACTCTTAAATCACGATTTCTCGTGCAATGAGCTGCCGTTGCAACGGTATTACACCCGTGGAGCAAGCGCAGTAGCGTACTATATATACTAAATACACATCCTGGCGCGATATAGTACATATAGACGCGGTGCACTCATAGACACAATATATATGTGTGTTATTGCGCGCAAGCTTCTTGTGTGCCGTGAGTATAATATGTACCAACAACAAACGATGCCTGCTTCTGTTGCTGCTCACATATTGACGTAAATAACTCCTCGGATGCCGATAGACCGATAGATATTGCGTAACCTTATTTTTTTTCTCGTTCATTTTATCTCTTCGAGTAGTAATAAAAATTATGACAAATCGTTGTGTTACGGGCAAGAGGTGACGGATTACCAGCGATAAGTTAAAGCGTGCGTGTAAATTTACAAGCCAAAAATTCGCGGGCTCGCTCGTTCACCTTACACCTCGCGCCTTTGCACGTCACGGGCTTTACACACACACACACACACACACATTATATGTGAATCTTTTATGCACACGCGCTGCTTCAAACGCACTGGAGCGTATAATATAGATTCCCGGGGTATTTTTGCATTGGTGGCCGCGCTACTAGCGTGCTTGGCATTTCTGCATACGTATGTAATATGGGTACACGTGCAAATGGCCACTGTATATATAAACCATATATAAAACATTCAGGAAGCAATACATCGTATTGTCCGATTTCCGGGAGGCTATCTCTTGCGGCCGTTTTCTACGTATATATATGCCTGGAGCTCACGACCTTATAACATACCTTCTAACGTAAGACTTGGCGCTTGTATTTATTATACGCGTGTACTTGTTTATACACACACACACACGCACACACACGCACACAGGTATACGCAATATATACGATTCATCTGTTTTATATGTGTATAAAACTTGATACTCGCCGCGTGCGCGCAACCGAATAAGAAAAATATTTCTCCTATATGCCTTATAAGCCCCCCCCTAGACAGATCGCATACCTCGCTGGTGGAAGATGCTGCACTTTCGCTGTATAAATACGGGCGCATAGGATGTTTGCTGCGCGTCTCACGTGACTCCCGCGCTCGACTGGACAAGGCAAATTGTATACATTGCGCTGCACCGCAGGTACACACTACACGCGTGCAAATCGTATAAATGGGATATACGTAAGGCATTCGAAACTCGTGGACGCGCCGAATATAATGAATATCTCGCATAAGAAAATTCTGCGCGTCTGGTCCTCTATGGGTACGTATTGTAAGTATCTGTCGTTTTATACACAAGTATAGAGGCAGTGAAAGTATACAACGCGGCGATTAACCTCGATTTTCATTTGTTATTGTGTTGAGCCGCCGCGACGACGATGATCGTCGTTTGTAATAACTATTTTCGTGAAATTACAGCCTTAAATTCTTAATGGAAATCTATCGGCGCGAGAGAGCGAGACGGAGGACTATTCCAGCTTCACAACGCGATATCGACCTTCATTATCACCCGATGAAATTAACGCTCCGCATAGATATTGAAAGTGTTATTTATATTTACGATGTAACGTGTTTATAAGACGTCGCGCCGGCTGACTGTTGATCTTGGAAAATCTAATGCTCGTATACAATGGTAACGGCGCGTCGTTTTTATATGGTATGTGATGGAATCGAGGGCCTGTCACGTTTTAATAAAGGATGAATCGAGATTCGAAAGAGTTCGCCTCTTTTATACTCGAGACTTTCTCTGATCGGTTATGTTTAGACGGACTTTACAATGTATAAATAATGACGACTTTCGCTCATCCCCCTCATCGTCGAAGCCTGGCTGCACAACTACCTAACTACGTAATATCAATCCCAGTCTAATGGATTTGAAAAAAAATGGCTCGAGAACAAATTGGATCGAGACGCTCCCAGTTTTGAATTTCGAGCTATATTAATTGAGTTATGTCATTCTTACATCGTTATCCTTTTGCGAAAGTATTTTATTTTATCATGCCCGTGCGCGCACAGTTGAGACGGAATTTTTCAAGAGGGAATAGTTTCAAATTAGCTGAATAAAAAATAGTAGATTTTCTTCCAAAAGGGGAAAAAATCTACGATTTCCATGATTGTGAGGCGAAACGTTTCCCTGCGCGTCACGTGTGCTGATGTCCACAAAATCAATGATGAGATGTCGAGATTTTTTTGATTCAGTGCGCGAAAAATGAGCCGCTCGTATTAAAGTCATGTCCGTGTCACTGAACGACCGTAATTGAAATGAAACAAACGTCATCAGAAATTGTAAATTTAAATTTTCGTTTATTATAAATAAATTGTGATCTACTGAAAACATAACTGGATTTTGTGAAATGGACGAACTGGTGTAATATTTTTTATATAAGAGAAGCCATGACTGTCATGTAAGATACTGCTGTGTTGACAATCTTTATAAAAGAGGGTATAATTAGATTGGTCATATTGCTTCATGAACTAATTGTTGAATTGATTTCAACTTACTGCACTAAAATTTTCATAATTCAGGTTAAGAACCGCAGACGGACCTGCTTTTAATTCACAAGGCTTGAGTGCTCGAACCATCATCATTATTATGAATGGTTTAGTATTCAAAGGAAAATTGTACCATCCACAGAAGTAACTATAATAGAAACGCACCGTTTAATGAATTATCAAGAGCATAAATAAAAATGCTAACACTTACCAATCATAAAATATATCATCACTCGCATTGACTACTATTTGTCCAAAATGACCAATTAGAAATGCAAAGAATATGACCGCAATAAATGAAATTATCATTTCGACTAAGAGGAAATAATTTTCTATACTCAACGAAAACAGTATCTGAAATTTTATTGGGTGCATTTGTTTAATTTAATCAAAAGAAATCTAAAATAGTTTACCATAGTTCCTGTGAAGCTCAAGCCAACAAAAACATAAGTGGTAAGAATCATGAGCACTTTGCGGCCAATATATTCGCACTTTTCAAAGTACCTGAAAATTTAGTGTAAATACAGTGATACGATTTGAAACATTTCATGGATTCGTATGATACGTTACTCAATAGCGGACAAATGGCTCTGGTGTAAATTTTTAACTTCATCATAAATAAAATAATTCACTGATTTAGTATTTTGAAAGTTATTACTTTGCACAAGTGTACATAATTTATGCAGACGAAAACTGAAAAAATCAGAAGATTTTACGAATGATATTTTTCAATCAAATTTTTTCAAAGCTTACCTCAACAAGTTAAATCTAATGAGAGTAATAGAAACAAAAAATGTCGCTGCAGAGCAAAGAGAAACTCCGATAACAGCCGCCATTGCCATTACGAATACAGTATATCCGAATATATAAAAAAAATATTTTTTCTCATCAATAAAGGAGAAATCTGCAGTGGTACAAAGTTTAGGCGTTAGGTTATACTTATTTGGAAAGATATAATTAACCATATACGGGACAGATACAGGAGAGATAGCAAATCCTGAAAAGCTGGTAAAGATTAAAACTGCAAAGAAACATTTATATGGATATGAATGTAAATTGATAATCGTTAATTTATAGTTTCTAATGTGTATTTTGCTTCCTAATATTATTTTCACCAATTAGTGACATAATTAAAAATTCATCATCAAACCTCTAACGACTATCGTTATTTTGCAATGAAATTGGCTCATGCTTTTCATAAAGTCTTTTTGTTCGGGTTCCGTTATGCTATTCCAAAAATTTACAGTCATCAAAGTGAAAGCTCGTACCTATTATAAATTTATGCTATTTTTGTAAAAAATTAGAGAAACAATTATTGTTTTGCATGAATCGTGAAACCACCACCTCCTGCTCCATAGAACAAAATATGTAGTACATAGAAGACATCATCGAAACAAAACTTATTTCGAATAAATTTTGTATGGCAAATTCCCAGTTGATCGGTGGATGAAGTGCATTATAAGCGGTATGTAATTGAAGAGTCATAACGAAAGAAAAATTTAATGCTATCACAAATCTTCCGAAATATTGCAAAAGACGATTTTGACCCGGCCATATGAGCGTTATGACGTAAAATATTTTACTTCCCGCGTAGTAATTAACATCTAGTTCTTCTAATCCAGGGATTTCGGGAAGATCGTTAAACACGAACAACTTTTTCAACATTTTTAATGAAACAAGACAGACAGATATTGAAACTGACGGTTAAAAATCAAAACTACCCTCCGATTAAGTATTGTAGATATTTGTAAAAATACTAAAATATATTTGTGTGCGGCGATTTGTCAGTAAAATTTAGCCAAACCACAAGCCACTTTTCATTATTAATCATAACTGACAATACAGCGATTTTCGGCTTGAATAAAATACCTCTTGTCATTTTTACACGTGTAGCCGAATGTCATACACCTGAACAAAGGACGTTTCTATAGTAATTTTGGAAATAACAAGATTTTGATTTTTCTTGTTTAACCCTTTAACGTCTAAAATTGCAATTTCGCGAATAAATTTTCCATCGTATCAAAACCGCATTGATAAAGTTAATGTTTTCTCTCGAAAATTCTTACCAGGGGAGTTTTTGGGTTTGCTCTTTCGGTCTTATTTTTGCATAAAATCAACATTACCATTGTTTATTTTGCAATGGAAAAAAATGTGATTTTTCGACTTGAAAATTTTTTCAAAGTCGATTTTCTACCTCTTCCTGCTTTCGAAGAGTTTCGGAAACCCAAAAAATCGTGCAATTTTGTTATAAACCTTCGAAAAAAACATTGTTGCGATTTTTATCTAGCTCTATGTATCTAATATGAAGGATCAAGACCATGCAGCGATATTCTTAGAGTGGTCCACAAAATTCGGAAAAAATTCAATGAACAACTATTTTTGAAATGATAATACTAGGTTTCGAATAAAAAATTATCACCTATTATAATTTTTGTTTTATTACAGAGCTTGTGAAAATGATATTTTGAAACTAATCTACGATTATTTACGAATAAGATGGACAAGTAGTATTTGAGCATTCCCAACTCTAAGCATTCATTTTAATTTTTTATTTTATTTTATACTTGGAAATACATGTCATATACAACAATGAATAACAGAGACCAATATACTTTTGTTTGTAATAGTAAATAAACACATCATTTTATAATATATTGGTTCATTCAACTTTTCTATAAAAAAATAAATAAAATATTAAAAATATCACATTCTTATACTCGAAAATGCGTCGTGTACGAATCATTACAATATCTAAGTACAAGAGCTTTATATCATTCCAAATGTTTATGATCAATTTTTAGTGATCTAATATTCGTACAATTTCATACTATAGTGATTTATCATTCATGGTGCGAAAAAATAAAATCAGACTTTTTTTAAGACTTTTTTTCATGTTTTAAATTTTAAATTCTGAACTTAAATATAAAACCTTTGATCATCAATGGTATTATAATTAAAAAATAACTTTATCTGCAACTGATTGAAGCATTTTATTGAGACTCTTTCCTTTCATCATTTAAGTACAATTGATTTAACATAGAATCAGTTGATGCTGATTAAATAAGAGATGCCATGACAGTCATGTAAGACACTGCAGTATTCATGAGCTTTAAAAAAGTATTTAATTAAATAATAAATACGTTTTATTCTGTCCAAGCTTAACATTGATTAATACTTACTGCGCTAAAACTTTCATAATTTAATTTGAGTGCTGCAGAAGGTCCTGAGGTTAATTCACATGGATATGATGCTCGTAACATAATTAATAAAACATATGGTCTAGTTTTCAGAGGAAAATAGTACCATCCACAATAATAACTGGAATCAACATTTGTATACATTTTTATTTGTAAAATAATCAAATTCCGTTCACGTAAGTCAAGAAAATACAACATATTTACCTCTCATAAAAAATTTCAACACTGACATCAGCTAAAAGTTGTCCAAAATGAGCAATCAGAAATGCATAAAATGATATGCATTCAAATGATACTATCATTTCTACCAATAAGAACAGATTATTAACTGATTTGGCAAATATAATCTAAAATATTGAATAAATAACAAATATTGAATGAATAACATAGTATTTTAAGAATTAATTATTTGATATCAATACTTGAATTCATTACCATTGAACCAGTGAAAATTAAACCAATTAAAATATAAGCAGATATTATCATTAGTACTTTTCGTCCTATATAAAACACCTTTGCAAAAAAACTAGAATTTTAAAATTATAATAAATTATGATTAAAAGTAAAAATGCTTGTTTTAAAGAAATAATTATTTTGAACTTTACTCAAAACATTGATTGTGATTGCAGTGTATGTCTACAATTTCATTATGAATATAATCGTTACGTGATTCATTGAAAACGAAAGAATCACTGTTAACAAGCTTTTCGAGTTTTGAAAACCTGTAACTGCAATATTAATGATAGTATAAATAAAATGTTTCTTACTCAAGCATGAACTTGAAAGATAATTAATAAATATGTTTGCAATTGTAGAATAAATGGCAATGTATCAAGGAGCGCATATAGCGTCCTGAATGGCAAGTATGGCAGATAAACTGCGTTATCAATCGTTCATATTTAAAATCTATTAAAAATATACTGAATTTGACGCTGCTAATGGATTCCTCGTAGAAGGTGACACAAAATAGTGCGTCTAACCATATAATTATATTATTAATGATATAAAACTAACGAAAAATGTTCGCTATTTTTTGTATCACATTAACGTAGAAAATCACTACTTTTCTGCTACTTTTAGATATTTGTGCTATAAAATATTATATGCAGTTTGTGTGAAAATGCTTTTTTAACAAAATTCAATTAAAAAAAAGCATCAAGTACTGCTATAAATTTCTAAAAATTAAATTTAACTAAATGTAGCCTAATTAACATTGTTCAATGTTCATGCTTATTAAGAAATACCTTATATTACTAACAATAAAAAAATTAATGCAAATGTACAGAATCATGCGAATAAATAGCTACCTAAGTAACCTGAATCTCGTAAGATTCACTGAGATGAAAAAAACCGCAGCAATACACAATGCCGAAGCACACATTGCTGCCTGTGTCATAATAATATAGGTATACCCGAGCCAAAAAAAGTAATATTCTTCAGGATCTAGAATTGTTAATTCTCCAGTAGTGCACAATCTTGCAGTAAAATTGTGTTCGCCAGGTAATACAATATTGAGAGCTGGTGGAACAATAGCTGGTAGAATCCAGAAGGACCAGAAGGAACCAAAAACAGCAACTGAATAATGAAAATAATCAAGATTTATGGCACTAAAACGAAATGACAGGGTAAGTAATATAAATACTTTTTACGAAGGTGATCATTATCGAGTGGGATCTACTCATTTTTACTAAGAGTTCTTTTTGGTCGGGAGCGGTGACACTTTTCCAATAAGTGACTGCATCTTCGAGAAAATCTTTGACCTAAAATAGTACAAATATTGAAAAACAAAATTCTTTTACCAGACGATGGTTCATTTTTCAAAATAAAATACCTGTTTGTCTAGAGACATAAATATAAGATATATACAAAATATCATGGAAAGAAATGCCAACTCGAATAAATTTTGAATTGCAAATTCAAAATCAATTGGCGATACAAAAACTTTCCGTTTTGTTGCAAGAGCCTTAGAATGTTAACAATCATAGTTGTAGAAATCTTTGGAAAATCATTATTTTTAGGTATTGTTATATTAAATTTGAATAATTTACCGTTACATATATAGCGTAGCAGAAGTTAATAGAATACAAAACTCTGCCAAAATACTGAATCTTACGGTTGGTATAGGGCCAAATAAAACATAATTTATAAAAAATTCTATTTCCGTTATAATACGTTGAGTCAATTTCGTGCACTAAATCTTCCATTGGATCCATTGTTTAAAATTTTTCAAACGTATTGTAGGCCAAGTATGTTAAGTATCTATAGTAGATTTTAGTAATCTACTGTCAAGTATTATCGAATTTACTGTAATGCTATTAATATTTTCAGAACTCACGTATCGACCAAAGGTTTCCAACCGTAATTCTCAGTCACGTGAATAAAGAATTCAACTCTTTAGTATTTCATGCTTTTGACCACGCATTCGGCTTTTTCAAATGATTTGACGATGCATTATAATGTTTGAATTGTTAACATCAACGTTTGTATAAAAATGTCAAATATACTGGCTTAATTTGGCCCTTATGCTCACATTTTCATTACATTTGAATATACTTACTAATTTGCCGTGATAATTATTCTGAATACTTTCTTTGGCATCGTATCGTTTAAAATTGTATAATTTGTTATTTTCGTAAAAAATTTTCGGCAACATAAAATATTTAACCCAATGATATTTCAAAAAATTATAAGCTGAAATTGTAGGCACTCATATCTATAGAGCCTTCACCATTCAAATTTATAAATTTAGATGGACATGAAAATGAATATCGGCGATTATGATAATACTTTGGTCATTAAATTTTTCAAATAAGTAATGATTTAATTCCTTTTATATTTGTTTTATTCAAAATTTGGATGTTTTAAATTAAAATAACAAATAGTTCAACAGTTGAAAAATAGTGTATAATGTTTAAAATTAGTATAATAGATTTTGCAGACATTTTTTTAAAATTCATGAATAATTTCAATTAGTACATGCCACCTTCTTAGAAAACTATAATGTCCGATCATCAATAGCAGCGAAGCATTTTCACTCGTAATTGTTGAACGCTACATAGTCATTGATGAAAATAGGTGTGCTCTTTAATTTTTCCAATTCATTAGATGACTGAAGCTATGACTGTCATGTATGATATTGAAGTATTGACAATCTATAGAAATCAAATTATTAATCAATACTTTATACATTTTAGTATGTAATTATTTTATTTTTTACTTACAGCGTTAAAATTTTCATAATTGAATTTCATTAAAGCTATTGGTAAAGATTGTAACTCACAAGGTATTGAACACCGAGACATCATCATGTATATCATTTGTTTCGATCTTTTTGGAAACTTGTACCATCCACAGAAGTAACTGAAAAATTTTGATTATCAATTCAGACCGAGAAAATCGACAAAATGAAACCTACCTTTGATAGAAAACATTATCACTTGCGTTGCGTAATATTTGACCGATGTGACTGATTAAAAAAGCAAAGCAAATTATACAGAAAAACGAGACAA